TAAAATTATTTATTTATCTAAGATGCACCTACACTGAATTTATCTGAAAAATAAAAAAGTCGATATTAAGAAAAAAATTGTAAATGGAAGATTATAAGAGAGGGTTTCACGTGCCAGCAAAAGTTACTGGCGTGCCATGTTTGGCACGTGTGCCAGGGGTTGCCCACCCCTGCCCTAGAAGTTGAGCAAAAGAAGATATTCTTTTCCCCATTTTACTGTGGAGGAAACTAAGGAACTGAGGGGTTAAGTCTCACTGCCAGTTAACAGCAGAGACTTTGCTTTTCCAAAGAAAAATCTTAGTAGGTGGGCCTACTAAGTTAGGAAGAATAAATAGGTGAAAATAGCCAAGCAATTTTTGAAAAATGAGTAGTGTGTTTTTTCTTAACCTCCAGTTAGTAAAAGACTATAAAATTACAATACTTAAAATGGTGTGGCATAGCCAGAAACAGACTCTAGAATATGTAAGAATTTACTGTCTAATAAAAGCAGCATTACAAAATCAGTGGTGAAAGGAAGTACTTTTCCATAAACAACACTGAGACAACTGGCTATTTGGTGGAAAACAAGGTTAAAATTTTCCCCTTCAGACTATTTATCAAAATGAATTCCAGATGAATTAAAGAGTTAAATGTAAAAACAAAGTGACCTCAGCAACGTCCCATGCACCAAGAAGTCATCAGTTAGATTGCCAGTCAGGGCACATGCCTGGGTTGTGGGCTCAATCCTCAGTGTGGGGCTTGCAGGAGACAGCCAATCAATGATTCTTTCTCATATCATGTTTCTCTCCTCTTTCCCCCTTTCCCTTCCTCTCTCTCTAAAATCAATAAAAAACATATTTTTTAAAAATTACTTTTAAAAAAGAAGGTGACCACCTGTAAGACAGAGAGGGAAACCTCACCAGAAATCAACCCTGCCAATACCTTGATCTTGGACTTCTAAATGTCACAATTAATTTCTGTTATTTAAGTCACCCAGTCTGTGTATTTTGTTATGGCAGCCCAAGCAGACTAATGCAAGTATATACCCAAGAGTGGAATTGCTGGACCATATCTTAACTTTTTGAGGAACTGGCAAACTTTTCCACAGTGGCTGAACCATTTTATATTCCCACCAGAAATGTATGAAGGTTCTAACTGTACCATATCTGTATATTAAATAATTTTGATTACAATGTTATAATAATGAATAAAATGGAATCATGAATAATATATAATGATAGGAAACTGCCTTAAAAAACTACACTATAGCCATGTGATGGATTATATACAGTCATTAAACTAAAATATTCAAAAGACATGTACTAAAGATGTAAAAAAATGCTTAAGATATAATGTTAAATGACAAAGGTAGGAATAAAAACTCAATCATGTGGGATCTAATTTCACAAACAAGAGTGAGGTTGGAAGGAAATACAGCAAAATGGAGAGTGAGTTTGGGATTAGATTTTATTTACACTTTCTGTACTCCCTGTATTTTCTACAATGAACATGTATTATTTAATGAACCAAAAAGGCACAAAGAATAATGCATATCACTTTTAAAGGACAATGAACTGTATACTGACAAAAATAATAAGACTGTAAGAATGATACCTCTCCCAGTTAAAGGGCTACAATATATCTTTTCAGAAAAGAGAAGGAAAATGTAGAAAAGAATGACATGTTCAAGTCTTACTCTAAACCAGTGGTTCTCAACCTATGGGTCGCGACCCCTTTGGCGGTCGAACGACCCTTTCAAAGGGGTCACCTAAGACCATCCTGCATATCAGATATTTACATTACGATTCATAACAGTAGCAACATTACAGTTATGAAGTAGCAACGAAAATAATTTTATGGTTGGGTCACAACATGAGGAACTGTATTTAAAGGGCCAGAAGGTTGAGAACCACTGCAGTCTAAACAAACCTGTCATATAAAAACACTGGAAATGCAGGTTTATACAGATATATTTTTACTGCACTTTAAATCACTTTTTTTCTTATAATATAAGCAATACAAGGAAACAAAATCACTCATAATCCCACAACCTATAGATAACAAACTAAGAGCATTCTGGAGTATTTCCTTTCATATCTCTTTACACATATTCATATTTTTTAAATGTCTAACTGAGATCACACTATACATATAGCCTGTCTTCTGTTTTATTTCATTTCACTTTCTGGCATAAGGTTTTCCCATAAAAGTCCCCTATATGAATGTTCCACAATTTATTCAGCCATTTATCTACTGGTTATTTACTGGTTGAAAATTCAAATTTTCATTATTATAATAATCCTGAGGTACATATTTCCACACCTAAATCTTTTACCACATTCTTGATTATTTTCTTAGGAATTTCTAGAAAGGTAATCATTGACATCAAAGGGTATAAATGTTTTAAGGTTTTTATCAATCTTATTAAGTTGCTTTCCAAAAAGTTTGTTCCAATTTACACTCCTATGAATGCAGCACTAAGCATTATCAGGTTTTCCTTGCTTATTATCTAGATTTTAAAAGGTCCTGCTTTAATTTTTATTTCTTTGATATTTAGTAGGAATAATTTTTTTTTCATGTTAACTAGCTAATTGTATTTTTTGTTTTGTAAACTGTCCATATTTCTACTGAAATGTTAGTGGTTCTTTTTTAAAAATCAATCTGTGCCCTGGACTGTTTGTTCAGTGGTTAGAGCATCAGCACACACTCTGAATGGTCTTGGGTTTGATCCCTGGTCAAGGGCACATACCTCAGTTGCAGGTTTGATCCCCAGTCCCAGTCAGCATGTGCAGGAGGCAATCAATCGATGTGTCACTCTCACGTCAATGTTTCTCTCTCTCTCCCTTCCATTCTCTCTAAAAATATCAATGGAAAAAATATCCTCAGATGAGGATTTTAAAAAATCAATTTGTATGAGTTCTTTATAAATAGAATATTAATAAGGAGAGGGAATTCTTTATGAAAACCTTCACATCAGACATTCATGAAACATTCAGTTTCCTGGCCCATTTAAAATGGGTTTCAATTTGCTTGGCCAGTGTGGCTCAGTGGTTGAGCCTCAACCTATGAACCAGGAAGTCATGGTTTGATTCCTGGTCAAGGTACAGGACCAAATTGCGGCTCGGTCTCCAGTGTGGGGTGTGCCGACTGATGATTCTCATAATTGATGTTTTTATCTCTCCCTCTCCCTTCCTCTCTGAAATCAATAAAAATATATTTAAAAAAAATAAAAATAAATAAATAAATAAAATGGGTTTAAATTTCTAAAAATCCTACCTACATGTAAATTTTTACCCTATAAAGATATATTTTCAAGCTTTTTCTAAAGAACTGGCTAATAAGAAGAAAACAATGTACCCAGGCCTATTCTATGGCATATATAAAGAACGCGGGAAGTAAGCCTAGTAATAATATAAGGAATTGATCATATATGCCTATTGATAGACACACTTACTGACTGTTTCTGATCTTTCCCAGGGCTCAGTACACAGTAGGTAGTGATTATAACTAAGCCACATACATGTGGCTAAAAGCACAGATACATTATGCACACACATACACCCAAAACCCTTGTAACAGCAGCAGAGAAAGAAAAAATGAGAGTTTGGGAATCATACCTGTTCCAGCTTCATCTCTTACTAATTATATGAACGCACATAAAGGTGCTTCACCTATTTCCTCATCTGTAAAATGGGGATAATACCTATCTCCTGGGATTCTTACAAGCCTTAAATGAGAGAAAGGGAAAACACTTCACATAGTGCCTAGTATATAATAGGAACTCAATAAATGCTAACAACTTTCTTCTTGGGAATACTACTTCTTACAAAGTCCTTCCTTCCCCAATGCTGCCCTCCAGTAGACTCTTCTCGACCCCTATGCAAGGTGGGTTCCACTTGAAACAGATCCAGTAAAGAAAATACAGATTTGAAAAACAGGTCATTTGCCTTAGCCGGTTTGGCTCAGTGGATAGAGTGTCGGCCCACAGACTGAAGGGTCCCGGGTTGGATTACGGTCAAAGGCGTGTACCTCGGTTGCAGGCTCAATCCTCAGCACGTTCAGGGCATGTGCGGAAGCCAACCAATTGATGTGTCTTTCTCACATCAATGTTTCTCTCTCCCTGTATCTCCCCATCCCTTCTACTCTGTCTAAAAATCAATGGAAAAAATATCCTTGGGTGAGGATTAATAAAACAAAAACCCAACAGGTCATTTATTTCCCCATTTACCAAAAAGGTTGTTTGTTTTTTTAGACTGGCAGATATTTAAATTCCAATTTGATCTAGAGAAGCACAGTTGATTTACAGTTGTTCAGATGCTTGTTTCCTGTCTAATTCTAGCTTTCCTATCTACCCCCACTAATTTTTTCAAGAAAAAATTACCCTGACCCTCTTCTTCAACTCAGCCTTTCCCCCCAGACAATGCCCTAATGATTTTACTCACCCACACAGTTGTCACAGATGCTGCAATGGGAGGCCCGGGGAGGCCGGAAGATCTTGCACGTATAACAGTATTTCAGCTTTACAATCTGGTTGTTAATCTGGAAATTCTTGATACGAGGGGGTGGTCGTTGGCCCTGGGGCACCGCACCATTGGTAGCTTCTGTAGATCAGTAAAGACTGTTAACATCACTGCCAGCCATTGTTTGAACCCAAAGGTCTCACCAGTTGTCCAAAAGCAATGGGAGTATTCAAAGGTTCCTTAGGCCCACTGTCTTCTTCATACTAACATTTCCAGAGTAGACTCTCAACATCAGATTCCACTGAGTGCCATGCAATTCTTTTGTGTGCATGTGAAAAATTGTGTCTTCAAGTTTTTGGCTGATTACAAAGAAAAATATTCATAAAAGAAGAAATAAAATGGCTAAAAACAGAAAATGAAAACATCCAACTTCGCTCATAATCAAAGAAATAAAAATTAAAACAAAGATACCACTTCCACCTACTATATTAACAAATATTTAAAAGAATAAAAATACCTAGTGAGCCCTAGCTGGTTTGGCTCAATGGATAGAGCATCGGCCTGCAGACTGGGTACCAGGTTCAATTCCAGTTAAGGGCACATGCCTGGGTTGCAGCCTTGATCCCCAGTGTGGGGTGTGCAGGAGGCAGCCAATCAATGATTCTCATCATTGATGTTTCTATCTCCCTCCCCCTCTCCCTTCCTCTCTGAAATCAATAAAAATATATATTTTTAAAAATGCCTAGTGATTCCCTGGCCGATGTTTCTAAGTTGTGAGAGTGTCCGCCTTCACAGTGAAGTGTCATGGGTTTGATTCCTAGTCAAGGGCATGTACCTGAATTGCAGGTTCGATTCCCAGACCCCTCAGAGCACGTGCAGGAGGCAACCAATTGATGTGTTTCTCTCACATCAATGTTTGTCGCTCTCTCTCTTTCTCTCCTCACTCTCTCTCCCTAAAAATCAATGGGAAAATATCCTTGGGTGAGGATTTAAAAATACCTAGTGTTGGCAAGGACGGGGAAAAGGTATTTTTATACATTACCAGTAAATAATGTAGCAGTGGCTATCAAAATTTTAAATGTGTTTACTTTTTGACCCAGGAATTCTACTTCTAGGAACTTATCAAAATTACAAAGAGTTGTATAAAAGATATTGACATGAGGATATTTGTCATAGAGTCCCTTTTATAGTGAAAATCTGAAATAACGTCAATGTCATAATAGGAGGTTGGTTAAGTAAATTATGATACATGCATAGGATGGAATATTATGCAGCCTTTTAAAATGGTGTAGACAAGCGAATGATGACAGGAAAAGATTCACAATATCTTGCAAAAATAAAATATATGCAGGAAAAAAGGCTAATACTTAGAAAAACAATTATTTTAAAATAAGAGTAATACATGTTTATTGTAAAAATTTTGGAAAAATAGAAAATATAAAAAAGTAAAGATATTTTTTCAGCTCAACTATATTCATGCATTTTAGTGTATTTCCCTTTGTCTTCCCTTAACAGATAAACATTTATGATTTTTCAAAATTTGAGATCATGTTATAAATGCAATGTTAGACCCTGTGTTTTTCACTTAAGATTATACAATAAACATTTTTCTATTATTATTTTTTTCTGAAAACATTATTATTGGCAATATAATATTCCATCACATGCATGTACTATTATTTATTTACTCATTCCATATTGTTGGGCATTTAAGTTGCCTCTGGTTTTTTACTATTTAAATTCTGCTGCATGCAAACAGATATGTATTTCAGAGGGAAGGGGAGAGGAGGGTGGGAAGAGATTAACCAAAGAACTTATATGCATATATGCATCAC